GCGTGGTCAAATGAAACTCGAATGAACGTAGTGCAGCCATCGGAAGAAAGAAATCTTCAATATGAAATGTTTTCAAGTTATCATATGGTCCACCATAATTGTGTTTCTTTCGGTTCAGGTTCGGAGGTATGGCATCCACTTTTGCTGGGAACGAAGAGATCGAGAAGGAAAAGAATTCGCGTCGCGATCCTGGCTGATATGTGGTTGGAAATGTATGTTACGAATGTATTTGTCTGGAAAAACTTAAACCTCAATTTTGGTGTACACGACTTTTTTGTTGTTATACTGCTCCTACACGTTCAATTAAAATTCCAGAATTAATCATTTCCTGTACGTCACTAGCGGGAAACAATCAAAAGAAAAAAAAGAAATCACAAGACTGTTGATGTACCAGCCAGTTCGGGATCCAATGGCAGCATGCAAAGACGCAGGAAGAAACCATGCATCCCAAAGATGGATGTGCAACCAAGTAACATATTCCTTTAGGAGGCAAATCCTAATACCCTATTGAAGACGACCTCGTTTAATATCCTTTTGTTAGGGCCCATCCATCGCGTTAGAAGTGCATGGGAACAAACGACTGGGAAAAATAACCGCCAGACATTTTATTTGAGCGGAAATCAAATGTTCACATTCCACATTTGTGAGTTCTTTTTTTTTTTTTACCCCGAATTACCGTAATTGCAATTTCTTTTCATGCTAGTGTGGAAAGATGAAACTTGGTAGATAACAACTATTCTGATGCTGCGTGCCGAAAAATCAAACTTTGGAAGTAAATTCCCAGAGGCCACAAATTTCAAAGGGAGATGTTTTCAAATAATTTTTTGCATTAAACTGATGAACATAAAAATCTGAAACTTGAAATTGAAAAGCTGAAACTTTCCATGAATGTGACAACAAGGAGTTGAAGAAAAATGTTAAGTCTTGATAAATCCCTTGGGGGAATCTTTTCGCGAGACGATGTTTTAAATAAAAAAATTTTGCCCTTAGCGAATTGGACAGAAAAGGAAATGCGAAACCTAGCACACTTATAAACGACATGATATTATTATGAACTTGAGTTAGGATTCAGATTTTATGGTGCATCCCCTCCGGCCATTGCTTTTGGGTGTGTCGGCTTTTCCAAACATGTTTTTCCACAAGCGAATAGGGCATAAGAATAAGATTGAATATTTGTGGGCATGTCGTTCCCTGAGGATTGATTTCGGAAAAAAGAAAAAAAAAGAAATGGTACTTTTCGGTTAAAACGCCTGAGGGTACATATATATATAGCAAAAGGCATATTTTCTTGAATTTCCTGATCCAGCAAATACGTGCGCGCTGGATGGTATAAACATTTGAAAGAAGTACCTGATGAATAGATGAGTAAAGAAAAAATTCTACTTTCCTAATATATATTGACGATCGTGACTGACTGACTGACGCTCTTTCAAAAAGGGGAAACGGATAAGGCTGTAACTGGGTGGCATGGACCCAAGTCCGTGAGTCTCTAATTCAGAAGAAAAAAAAGTTTCCACTGAAACCCATCATGGCTCTTATTTTTAAGTCCCATTTTCCTGAAATTTTCTTTTCATATTATGAAACAGAGACAAAAAATTTTAAATTCCCTTAGAAGTTCCTATTTAATGACTGAGTACAAGAAAAATCCTACTTTTGAAATGTGTCTTCTTAGAGTAGATTATAGGAGGGGGACGCGAGGCTGCACCCACCTCGACAACAACGGCTCAGAAAGTAATATTGGAGCTAAGAACCCCTCCGCATCAACAGACTAATCAGACGATATGCAGGCCGATGCAATTCCAGGAACTCGAAAAGGGGACATTCCCCCCTTCCACGTATTTTTTTACTTCCAGGGGGAGATAAAGATGAATTTGCCTCTAACTATAAAGCGAACACTCGTCATCGCTCACAGACTCTGGAGTCGGAATCCCTACATCAATTTTCTTATTATAGATTGTTCATCGATTTTCCCGTCAATTTCCTCATCGAATTTCTCGTTGATCTTCTCACAAATTTCCCCTTCGAAATGGTGCTCGAGGACTCTTTTCTCGAGAGGTGCTGCAAAAATCCGAAATGCGTGTCGATGCTGGGCCCTTTTTTTGGTCTCTCATCTCGAGATGTGGCCCGGGTTTCGTTCTCGCGGATACCGAACTCGAAGTCTTCAGACCAAAATAATATTTTCTAGCAGAAGTTTATTGGGGAAAGGGAGGGGGAGGGGGCAGGGACCCTCCTACCTCACGGCCTTTCTTCATCCTACTGACCCAACAGACGGATTCTGCATGCCAGATTCGTTGGAGTAGTCTCTTTCATTGAATGTTTCGAGCCACGTTCAGGGGATGGTTATTACTTGCCTGGCAAGGTGAGAGTCGGTAGGTGACGATATCAAGCATCATCAATGTGCACTAAAAATGTTTGAGTTCTGGCTTGTTGAAAAGAAAGGTCACACAGCATCCACATGGAAAACATGAAATTCGAGATTCGCAATAGTCGGAAGTTTCGACGGAAATGTAAGAGGAAAGAGAAGCTCATCCTTGAGGCCCTGTTGTACATTCATTGTCACAGCGCTCATTCATGCTTTAGGGTGGATTCGCCGCTTCAAAGAAGGGACAGAGAGCCTAGAAGACAAATCAAGCAGTCACAAGTGAGAGAATCAATCCCGTTCGAGCCAAAGTTGGAGAAGAATGGAGGAGTATGTGAAAGTACAGTGAAAACAGTGTTGGACTGAGCAAGCTTAGTGCTCGTTGGGTACGAAAAGCGTTGCGCCCATATAAAAAAAATCTGATGGCAGAATGCAAGGCGGAGTTTTTGACCGAGTTCGACGCCGATCCTGACGTCTTCGTGGCTCGAATCGTAACTGGGAATGAGAATTAGATCGATCACTCAGATACGGAGATTAAGTTAAATTCGAAGCATCAAGTTAAAACTGGAGAATATCTGGAAAAATCGTGCGGACTGTTCACTGGGAACCGGATTGGGCGATCACGGAGCATGGACATCCTCGATGAATTGACTCGATCGAGGAGATTATGCCTAAAAACAGGATAACGTACTTGACTCTTAGATAATAATTTATTATACATTCATTATATTGTTCCTTTCAGGGAGATGATAGACCAGTTTCTCAGTTTCTCATTCGATGATGTTAATATCTTCACTGAATATGCCTTACATCACGGCCACGACTGAACTGCACCCCCTCGACATCAACGGGCTTTGCACGATCTTCATGGCGTCCACTTGCTCTTATTGGAATATGCTGCTATGAACCTAACTTTGGCACAGAATCATTGAGATATTGCTGGGTCACAAGACAGGTGAAGTATAACAGCCAGTTCAGGATTCAATGGAAGCAAGCAAAGACGGAGAATAGTTAATAAATTTCAATTAAAATTTTTAAATATATAATGAAAAAGATAAAATGATTTAAAATAAATGAAGTATAATGCTATAAATGAAAGTAAATTAAAGAACAGAATGGAAAATGGCGAATTCAGCATGCTGCTCCTTTGGGAGACACTGAATTTCCTGCTTGTAAATCGGTTCTGCAATTCAGAATCTTCATTTCCCCGCCTGCACGCGGTGGAACTCTCCCCGAGAGAACGCGGGAACGATTCGACCGGGAGCTTCCTCCTCCTCTTCTTCGAGGAGGGAAAGTGGAATCGATCGCGCGGGGCAGGTCTTCCCCCCCCCCCCCCCCCCCCCCCCCCCGGG